TGAATCAGAAAAGTACTGCATTACGACAGCTAGATGGAGCTGATGATGATAGGAAATACCTACTTACTTTGATTGTCAGCTCCATTCTCCATCTAGTGGCCATGATGCTGTATTTTTAAAATTTACGCTTCCTTTGTATCAGTGAACAACATTTGACTTTTTTTTTTGCACCCATTTTCACAGAATAAATGCGCATGTAGTTTCAGAGAACAAATAGTTCTACAATTCTTTTGTAAATACATCACTATCCTTTTTTAAAAAAAATCATTAGCTGTATTTTTAAAGGGTAACCCCACTTTGTGGGGAAAAATTAGCAAATAAAAGAAAAATAATATGGCATATACAAATAAAACACATGTCATATTGTAACTGAATGTACTTAACCGCTTAAGGACCACCCTATAGCAGATATACTGCTACAGGGCGGCACCTGTTCACAAAATAACGTGTATATATATATATATATATATATATATATATATATATATATATTATATATATATGTGATTTTGCATTTCCGGGTAGGGGGCACTGCCATTCGTGTTCTGTGGATGTCAATCACCGGGTCCCAGCCAGTTTTGTTTACAGTCTTCCTCCCCGTCAGCTCGAGCACACTGCTCGGGATGACTGTGCACAGTAAAGCACTCCCCCCAGGCCCCTAGTAAAACACTTCCTACACACAGTTAACCCTTTGATCGCCCCTCACATTAACCCCTTCCTGCCCAGTGCCATTAGTACAGTGTCAGTGCTTTTTTTTAGTACTGATCACTGTATTGGTGTCACTGGGGATGTCAGTGACACCAAGTCAGTTCCCCCCCCCAGTGTCAGAATGTCCGCCGCAGTTCCGCTAAAAGCTGATTACCGCAATTACTACTAGAAGAAAAAAAAAATCCCAGTATCTATACCGCCATTTATAAATGGTAGAACATTCACGTAAACCAATTAATTTACACGTATTGTGATTTTTTTTTTTAGCAAAGACATGTCGCAGAATACATTTTGGCCTAAATATATGACAAAATTTGATTTTTTTTATTTTTTTTTACTGGACATGTTTAATAGCAAAAAGTCCAAAATATTGTTTTTTTTTTTTTCAAAATTGTCTGTCTTTTTTTGCGCTATAAGCAAAAAAAATACAAACTGCACAGGAGATCAAATACCACCGAAAGAAAGCTCAATTTGTGGAAAAAAAGACGTAAATGTAATTTGGGTGCAGCGTTGCATGACTGTGCAATTGTCAGTTAAAGTAACACAGTGCCATAACGCAAAAAATGGCCTGGTCAGGAAATAAATAGGGTAAATCCTCAGGAGGACAAGTGGTTACAATGACCTTTTGTTTTCAATCTGTAGCGCTGTAATTTTCTGTGAAATGCAATGTAATATAGCTGCCTGGAGGTGTTCTGTACATACAGTATATCACAAATTGTATGATACCCATAGTACGTTACATTAGCATAGGAGAGGTGAAAACACAGGTATGGCATTACGCGTTGAACCACAGAAGAACAAAACATGAATGAACACAAGTAAAACAATACAGATAAACAAAACTTGCTAACTGAGGAATCCTGCAGTGGAAAGGTGGGGGGCCTTCCAATAATGGGAAACAGGGCCTTGGGGCAGAAGGGCAGCAAAAAGGAAATAATAGCATCCTTGGATGCTCCCAGTCAGGTCCCCCCCAGCGACACACCCACCATGAGTATAAAGCTGTGGGCAATAGCAACAGGTTCGTGGTGAAGTCCAGTAGTCGAAGGAGGGGGCCAAAAAGACCCCAGTGCAAAGATCGCGGAGGTCACAAAGGTCATGGACCAAGTGGGGACAATGCCATCGGAATAGACAGTATTACAGTCAAAGACCGTTCAACGCCCTGGCCAAATAAACCTTAAAGTGAAGGGCAAGTGAGGGGCTAACCCCAGATACAAACAAGCAGTTCGTTTAGAGAGGGACCCTATGGCAGGGGTGGGCAAACTTTTTGACTTGAGGGCTGCAATGGGTTCATATATTGGACCCGGGGGCTGGACCAAGAGTAGATGAATGATGTGTATGTGTCATCCATAGTAAGTATAGTAATATTCCCCCATAGTAAGCATAGTAATTCATCATAGTAATTCATCCCCCATATAATTCATCCCCCATCAGTAAAATTCCCCCCATATAGTAATTCATCCCCCATAGTAATTCATCCCCCTATAGTAATTCATCCCCCATGTAGTAATTCATCCCCCATGTAGTAATTCCCCCCTATAGTAATTCATCCCCCATATAGTAATTAATCCCCCCTATAGTAATTCATTCATCCCCCCTATAGTAATTCATCCCCCATATTAAGTCCCCAAGTCCCCCTGTGTCAATTCACTTACCTTTGCTCCGCACGTTCCTCTCGCCGTGTTCCCGCGCCGTTCCGGTGTAGCATGAAAATCTGTCTCCTATGAGGATCTGTCCCCCTCGACGTATCTGCGCATGTGCCAGTTTCAGGCATTAGCAGCCGATCGGCGATCTCCGGCACATGTGCAGATACGTCGAGGGGGACAGATCCTCATAGGAGACAGATTTTCATGCTACACCGGTCTTCAGGGCGGACTGTGAGAGGAGCCTAGCGGGAGCCTTGCTCCGCGGGCCGGATTAAAAGGTCCGCCGGGCCGTATACGGGCCGTATTTTGCCCATTGCTGCCCTATGGGGATGTTTCTCATACTACGGTGTTGAGCCTATTTATCGCATAACCAGGGATCATGGATCAGTTTTGAATACATCAGAATACTTGAAGAGGTCATACTGCCTTATGCTGAAGAGGAAATGCCCTTGAAATGGGTGTTCCAACAAGACAACGACCCCAAACACACCAGTAAACGTGCAACATCTTGGTTCCAGACCAACAAGATTGACGTTATGGAGTGGCCAGCCCAATCCCCGGATCTTAATCCAATAGAAAACTTGTGGGGTGACATCAAAAAATGCTGTTTCTGAGGCAAAACCAAGAAGAACTGTGGAATGGAATACCTGTTCACAGGTGCCAGAAGTTGGTTGACTCCATGCAACACAGATGTACAGCAGTTCTCAGAAACAGTGCTTATACAACTAAATATTAATTAAGTGATTCAAAGGAAAGCAAAATCTTCAAACATTTTTCAGTTTATATAGTGAATATTTGAGTTTGTAAAGAAGAATACAAACACTGCTATTTTTTTGAACAGTCTAATATTCACTTTTCTTCAATTTTTTTAGAGGAACAACACAAATTTGATATATTTTTATGTTTTGATTTGGAATAGAATGTGTAGTGTTCCCAATGCATTTGTGTGTATGGAAATAAAAGCTATTAGAAGGATTTTGAGCTTTATTCACTTTTTTCAACACACTGCCATTATTTTGAACACAACTGTAGATGGTGTACAGAACCCCCCCCCCCCCCCCCCCCCCCCCCAACACATAATTTCCTGCTTGTGTGATTGGCGCTGTCCTACGGACACAGCTGATCATATGACATGGAAAAAGACCAATCACAGCGGCTTTTTACCACGTGGTCAGCTGTGTCCAATGACACAGCAGATCACAAAGTAAATACAGTTGCCGGTTATCGGCAGCACTTTCCTCACACTGTCACAGCGTTAGGAAAGTACTGCCGATAACCGGCAAATGTCACAGAGGACACATGCATTGATCATCAGGGCACTAATGATTAATGCCCTGATCATCAGTGCAGCCCATCAGTGCCACCCACCAGTGCCCAGCAGTGACACTCATTAGTGTCTAGCAGTGCCACCCATCAGTGCCGCTAGTCAGTGCTGCACATCAGTGCCCATAAGTATTACAAACAGTGCCGCCTATTAGTGCCCATCTGTGCCACCTGTCAGTGCTACCTATCAGTGCAGCATCATCAGTGCCTCCTCATCAATGCCCACCAGTTCCGCCCCATCAGTGCCGCCTATCAGTGCAGCCTCATCAACGCACATCAGTGAAGGAGAAAAATTACCTGTTTGCAAAATTTTATAATAGAAACAAAGAAAAACTTTTTTTTTCAAAATTTCTGCTCTTTTTTTTAAAGTGCAAAAAATAAAAACCCTAGTGGTGATTAAATACCATCAAAAGAAAGCTCTATTTGTGTGAAAAAAAGATACAAATTTCATATGGGTGCAGTGTTACATGACCGCCGCGCAATTATCATTCATAGTGTGACAGCACTGAAAGCTGAAAATTGGCCGGGGCACGAAGGGGGTAAAAGTGCCCGGTAGGCAAGTGGTTAAATTAGCGTTGTAAAATTGTATATATATATATATATATATATATACACCCCTATGTATTCATTTAAAAAAGTAATTAACTGTATTTTTAAATGTAACTAGTTTAACCACTTGAGCTCCAGAGGATTTACCCCCCTTAATGACCAGGCCTCTTTTTGCTACTCAGCGCTGCACTAATTCAACTGATAATTGCGCGGTCATGCAATGCTGCACCCAAACGAAATTTACGTCCTTTTTTTCACACAAATAGAGCTTTCTTTCGGTGGTATTTGATCACCTGTGCGCTTTTTATTTTTCACGCTATAAACAAAAAAAGGCCAAAAAGTTTGAAGAAAAACGATATTTTTTACTTTCAGCTATAAAAAATATATAGTAAACTCAAAGTTGGTTATAAATTTAGGCCAAATGTATTCTGCTACATGTTTAGGTAAAAAAAATCCCAATAAGTGTATATTGATTGCTTTGTGTGAAAGTTATAGCGTCTACAAACTATGGTATAGATACTGCAATTTACGCCATTTTTTTGCTCTACAGCGCTGCGCTAGTTTAACGGACAATTGCGCGGTCATGCAATACGGTACATAAATGAAATTTACATCCTTTTTTTCCCAACAAATTGATCTTTCTTTCGGTGGTATTTGATCGCCTGTGCGGTTTTTATTTTTTGCGCTATAAAAACAAAAGTCTGACAATTTTGAGGAAAAAAAACTATATTTTGGACTTTTTGCTATAAAACATGTCCAGTAAAAAAAATTTAAAAATCAAATTTAGTTATAAATTTCTGCCAAAATGCATTCTGCGACGTCTTTGCTAAAAAAAAACAATATGTGTAAATTAATTGGTTTATGTGAAAGTTATAGCGTTTACAAATGGCGGGAAAGATACTGGGATTTTTAGGGTTTTTTTTATACTAATAATGGCGGCAATCAGCGACTTCCGCAGCTGTGATCGGCGGGACAAGTAGGGCGGCGGTGGCGCGCCTTGCACGCGCCCCCTACCTGTTTTCAAAACACACGTTTTAAAACATGCTTTTGCCCAGCCATGCCGCCCTGCCGCCATATTTATACTGCTTCTCCTTCATTGTCTAGCCACAGAAAAAAGGTCAAATCTTTAGGCTTCCTGTACTGTCTGACAGGGCTGTGTGAATAGCAGGACTGAATGGACAGACGTATTCATACCTACACTTCTAGCAGCATTATAGGCCGTAGAAGAGAAGTTTTGTGCAGCACTTTAGGGTTAGGAAATAGGGTCTATGCATGCAGAATTTGGGGGAATGTTAGGGTATTAGTCCAGGCTCTCTCAGTCTAGGTTATGTCTTTGTTCCTTGGGGTGCTATGGAAAAATGCCTAAACATTTCCCAAAATCACCCACAAAAAATTGTCAACAAGCTGAGTGTTGGATCAAGTTTCAAAATGCCTTGCGTTTTATTGTGCTGCACCCTGAGCATCATACAGACCAGCTGCCAGCCCCCTGTTTGGTTCGCAGTCGAACATTTGAACCTACCGAAGGTTCGACCGCGAACTTGGAACAGAGGGGACAATTTACTGAGCGGTATCTTATTGCATCTGAGTATGTGGTATGATACCGCTCAGCTACTAAATACCACAGGAGTTATATTATTAAGTCATGCAGTATTTTAGTAGTAAAACATTCCTTAATGTTTCAGCTGTCAGCGGGCTTCCCTGCTGACAGCTGAATGTCAACAGAATTGCTGGCATTGCCCAACATTTAAAAAATGAAAAGAAAAAAAAAAAAATGGTGTGGGGGTCCCTTCTCCCATCCATACCAAGCCCTTCAGGTCTGGTATGGATTTTGAGGGGAGCCCCCATGCCAGAATTAAAAAAAAAAAAAAAAAAAAAAAAAAAAAATGGCATGGAGCCCCCTTCCCCCTCCCCCACAAATCCATACCAGACCGTTATCTGAGCATGCAACCTGGCAGGTCGGGAAAGGGGGGGGGACAAGCAAGCGCCCCTCCCTCATGAACCATACCAGGCCACATGCCCTCATTATGGGGGGGGTGCTTTGGGGCAGGGGGGCTCCCCCCCAAAGCACCATGATCCCATTTGGATGCGGACAAGGGCCTCTTCCGCACAACCCTGACTGATGGTTGTGGGGGTCTGCAGGCAGGGGGGGGGCTTTATCAAAATCTGGAAGCCCCCTTTAACAAGGGGGTCTCCATGTGAAATACATGGTACCACTACCCATGCACAAAAAAAAAGTGTAGTTTAAAAATGACAGGAGCAGGGGCGGACTGACAACTCATGGGGCCCCCGGGCAATAGGGATCATTGGGCCCCCCGTGTCCTTGCCCAAACTCAAAAAAGCCTATGAAAAAGGTACCAGGGGGCATCTCATGGGGCCCCCCTACTGACCCCGGGCCCAAATGGTCAGTCCACCCCTGGACAGGAGACAGTCTTTGACTAGTCCTTTAATAAAAACAAAAATAAAAGTCCCCAGAAGTAGATCCAACGTCAATCACGATACCTGCCCGCCACCGCCGACCCAAAAAAAGAAAAAAAAAGCTGCTCCACAATGACAGATCTTAAATACAGTAATGACGTCACGCGATGACATCATGCGCTGTGATCAGCCAACGCAGTACACCTGACCTGTGGTCAGGTGCATTGTTTTGGCCAATCACAATGCACTGTCAGGGCGCAGTGCATTGAGGGGTGCAGCGAGCGAACAACCCCCCCCCCCCCGAACGCCCTTACCGTTCGTATTTTCAGTGAACACACAAATGGCCAGTGTTCGAGTTGAACGTCTGTTCGACTTGAACATAAAGCCCAATTGCTACCGTCAGCATCATAACAACTGATGGTGTAATAGATTGATAAGGAGCATGTTGGGTACTTAAACAGCGTCCTTGTCTTCCCTCTCTCCTGGGGTCATGTTAACTGCGTGCGGGAGAAGAAGAAAAACTAGTCAGTACCCTTGTGCAAAAGTATTTTTGCTTTGTGAAAAGAAATTACCTCGATTGTTGGTTTGCTACAGCGGGGATGCTTATTTAAGAATATTTGTCTTTACATGTTATGTAAGAATATTCGCCTTTACATGTTATGTAAGAACATTCGTCTTTACATGTTATGTAAGAACATTCGCCTTTACATGTTATGTAAGAACATTCGCCTTTACATGTTATGTAAGAACATTCGTCTTTACATGTTATGTAAGAACATTCGCCTTTACATGTTATGTAAGAACATTCGCCTTTACATGTTATGTAAGAACATTCGTCTTTACATGTTATGTAAGAACATTCGCCTTTACATGTTATGTAAGAACATTCGCCTTTACATGTTATGTAAGAACATTCGCCTTTACATGTTATGTAAGAATATTCGTCTTTACATTTTAGAATGGGGAGGTCTCTAGATTGTGCATAATTTTGAAGGCTGCCTTGAACGAAAAAAAAAGAAACAATGTATTAGACCAGGGGTGCTCAACCTCTTGAACAGCAAGGGCCACGTACGTGATTTGGTAACCGGTCGGAGACCACAATGAAATTAAGTGGTTCTGAATTTAAAATGTTTTATTTTGAATAGCATAATGAACATTTTCCTCCTGCAGCCACTAAACGCCAGTGGAAGGGAAAGGAGGAAAAGCCGACTTTCAGTGTTTTGCAGGAGGAAAATGGAGAGGATCAGTTCCTGTATATGCCACCCCCTCCTGTCCAAGTGTAAAACAGAATGTGACAGGGAGCCGCACAGGCCCCCTAAAGCATGGGGCAGAATCACCAATGCGATCCCTGACGCTACGCCAATGGTTGGGGGGTGTGTGGTAAAAACACATCTCAATTAAGGGGTTTTACTACCCCCGCAAATGGCAAGTGTAAACTAACCCTTACTGTCCTTAGCCCCGTTAGTCTGCTTTCACACTGATGCACTGCGGTTTACCCACAACAAGGATGCAGTGCAGTGATCCTGTGGCTTACCTGCGGGTTAGCTGCACTTTGCCATAAGTTCTATTATATTTTGCAGGTGTCGTATTCTTTGTTAAAGCACACCGAAATTCCTGCATTCAGGAGTTTTTGAGCTCTTTCAGAAATCACAGCAAACCTGCAGGGTATAATAGAAGTGCACTACCCCAGTCGAGGGCCACATCAGAGGGCACTGAGGTCCACAGGTTGAGTACCCCTGTATTAGAATAAAAGGTTGTTAGAAACTTGCACTAATGAGAAATGTAAAATGTTCTCTGGGCTCCTAATCTATTAGAGTTATTAAAAAAAGATATTAGCTACTTATACAATCCCCGGCCACTTTATTAGGTACACCTTGCTAGTGCCAAGAAAATCTCCCCCACACCATTACACCACCAGTCTGAACATTGATACAAGGCAGGATGGATCCATGCTTTCAAGTTGATTATGCCAAGTTCTGACCCTACCATCTGAATGTTGCAGCAAGCAGTCTGCCCATTCTATTCTGACCTCTGACATCAACAAGACATTTGCATCCACACAACTGCCACGCACTGGATATTTTCTCTTTTTCAGACCATTCTCTGTAAACCCTAGAGATGGTTGTATGTGAAAATCCCAGTAAATCAGCAGTGTTTGAAATACTCAGACCAGCCTGTCTGGCACCAACAACCGTGCCATGTTCAAAGTCACTTAAATCCCCTTTCTTCCCCATTCTGATGCTCAGTTTAAACTTCAGTCATCTTCACATGTCTAGATGCCTAAATGCATTGAATTGCTGCCATGTGATTGCCTGATTAGGAATTTGTGTTACCAACCGATTGAACAGGTGTACCTAATAAAGTGGCTGGTGAGTGTGTGTCAGGGTTATATATCCCCACCTATACCCATCTACTCTCATGTGTGCCTTTAACTTTTTAGCAAAAGTGACTTCTGTATCGTGTGGAGGACACATTTCTTTATCAGCTGCGCAGTGTCTGGGTCCCTTACTAGTCAAACAAGGGAGGATGTGCGGTTATTGACTAAGCACGCAAAGCTTTGGTAAAGGTCAGATTTCATCCTGGCTGCCAAGGGAAAGTGCCCCAGGTAAAGCACAAGCTGTCAGCTTACACTAGCTCTAAATTCTCCCACCTCTTCCTGACAACTGTTTGAGATTCTTGTACGGTCTACAGAACAGGTGCGCTCACAGAAACTTGTTTATAAGAAAATGTTACCTGCCAAACTGGCTTTGCAGTCTTAGCATGCCGAAAAAAAACAAAGACCATTCCGTAACTGAAGGCAGCATGCGCCATTATGGTCACCTTCCAAGCACCTCTGATAAGCTCATTCCAGATATTCAGATCCAAAGGAAAGACTTGGCTACATCTGTGTTTAAAGTGATTGAAACAAACATATATACCTTTTTTATGTCCTTTGGTGCGGTCATGTGATCTCTAAGATTCAACCCCTTGTGTCAGCAAGCAGCTCAACAACAGGGCTGAATTCCCAGAGCAGTGACATTGCCCATCACGTTGTCGCTGCTTTCTGCCATCGCCGTTTTAAACCATAGCAGCATTAACCTGTACTTGCACTTTCACATTAGCAGCTTATGGAGTGAACTTCATTTATATTTTGATTTATTATTTATTTCAGGTACTTATATAGTGCCATCAATTTATGCAGTGCTTTACATATATATTGTACATTAACCGCCTCCTGTCCACCCTATAGGAGAAATACTGCTACAGGGCGGCACAGGTGTGCAAAATCACATATATATATATACATGATTTTGTATTTCTGGGTAGGGGGTGCGCAAGCGTCCTCCCTGCTCCGCCTTTCGCGACCGTGGCTGTCAATCACCGGGTCCCGGACAGTGGTTGCTCGCCGGCGCCTGGTGATTTCTGACGATCTCCGACGAGAAAGAGAACTATTTTGTTTACTAACAGTTCTCCTCCCTGTCAGTTTGGGCATACTGCTTTGGATGACTGTGCACAGCACAGCCATCCAAAGCAGTGTGCTTACAGTGAAGCACACTGACACAGCCCCCTATGTAAAAACACTCCCAGCGCACAGTTAACCCTTTGATCGCCCTTCATGTTAACCCCTTCCTGCCCAGTGCCATTAGTACAGTGTTAGTGCTTTTTTTTAAGCACTGATCACTGTATTGGTGTCAATGGGGATGTCAGTGACACCAAGTCAGTTCCCCCCCAGTGTCAGAATGCAGTCCCACTATAAGTCGCTGATCACCGCCTGAAATAAATAAGGGGTGGTTTCTTGGAATCCCCCTATTTATCATACAGTTATGTACTATTTGTCTGTTCCTATAACTAATTAGTATATATAGAAAATGTGACAATATTGATAGACGTAATATACTGCAATATTAGCTATACTAACAAACACAATGCTCAAGGAAGCAAGGCCTTATTTATTTACAAAGAAAGTAAAACACTAACAGAGAAATCTAAACCAATATTACAGAGTGTATAGGAATAAAAGCAAAGATGATACGTTACGTAAGTTCGTCCTCAAAGCTAAGTATCTTTTAGCTGGATTCCAGGTAGGAAAATGGTCAGAAAAAGAAGCATGGCCAAAACTATGTTTAAAAGCACTCTCAAATATCACCCTCACACACACCCTTGACCTGCCTGGTGTAGTTCTCCGTCCAATGAGCAAATGTCCATAACTCATTAGGGGCTGTCCTCCCTACTCATTAGGAAGTGTAGTATTACCCCAGCCATCCTCCAGGAAGTATGTCTTCTCCACCAGGGGGCACTGCTATATTGCCAACAATGCTTGGACCAGGGGCAGACTGACCATTCGAGCACTCGGGCACTGCCCAAGGGCCCGATGTCAGTAGGGGGCCCCATGAGATGCCCCTGGTACCTTTTTTATAGGCTTTTTTGAGTGTGGGCAAGGACACAGGGGCCCCATGATCCCCTATTGCCCGGGGGTCCCATGAGTTGTCAGTCCGCCCCTGGCTTAGACCCAGGTCAATCACATCTGGCTCCTCCCTTCTGGCTGGAAGCCATGTAATCTGTCCTTTTAATATTTGTGTCACCAGGGAGTCTGGGCTGAGGCTCTCTTATCTCCATGCCCCACCGCTAGGGGGTATGTGTGAACTCCCAGGACAAGGATTTTGGTATGCAGCCTTTTGTTATATACATCCTGTTGTAAATACTTGCTTTTCTTGACACTCCAAGATAACATTCAATAGGCCAAATAGTTCTTTGACAACCAGGCATTAAGAATCCCTAAATGTCTGAAATAAAAAAAACATGTTGCCTTCCAACACCTCCACTACTAGTAAAAAAAAAAAAAAAAAAAATTCCAGTATCTATACCGCCATTTGTAGACACTAAAACTGTCACGTAAACCAATTAATTTACACGTATTTGGATTTTTTTAGTAAAGACATGTAGCAGAATACATTTTGGCCTAAATTTATGATGAAAATTGAGTTTTTAACTTTTTTTTACTGGACATGATTAATAGCAAAAAAAATATTGTTTTTATTTCTCAAAATTGTCTTTTTTTTTTACAGCGCAAAAAAAAAAAACCGCACAGGCGATCAAATACCACTGAAAGAAAGCTCAATTCATGGGAAAAAAGGATGTAAATGTCATTTGGGTGCAGAGCATGACCGCGCAATTGTCAGTTAAAGTAATGCAGCACTGTCACGGTATGGGGGCCGGCCAATTATCAATTCCTGCTTACTGATCCGGAGTGTCACGATATGAGTTCTCTGCTAGCCCAGTTATTAATCCCCAGGTATTAATTCCTTGTTCCTAATCTCTCCTGGCCATAGGAAGAGCCTCCTCCAATTAGTATTCACTCCTGTGTGCCAAAGGCCCCTAGCTGTAATTAAGGCTCCCCTCCACAAAAGGTCCCAAATTCAATTAGTGTATACATCCCTAATTAGTGCCTTACTTTTGTATTAATGTATTTTCCCCACTATTAAACTGTTTACAGCTGCAAATCCAATTATTCTGTGTGTCCAGCCTGTCCAACCAGTATTTTCTGTTTACAGCTACAAATTAAATTACTGTAGTTCCATTCCTGTCCATTCTCTTCATTGTCACCTGCTAATACCCCCCCCCCCCCCACCTCTCATTCTGCTCAGGGGGTTTAAGAGGCCAGTACTGGTCTCTCTTATTGAGCCATTCTGCTGGGCAACCACTGAGGGGTCCAGCTGGACTCTAGTGGCCCCCCGGTTCTGCCTGAGCCCCATTGGAGGAAGGGGGACCCCAGAAGCTACATCAGCCCTGCCTGAAACACTATCAGCTTTGCCAGAGACTACCACATCAGCTCTGCCTGAGACCACAGCATCAGCTTTACGTGAGTGTATGCTTCCCTTGTGCTATCTGACTGCTTATGAACTGCCTCTTGGATTACAAATTGCTGTAGAGACTTTAACTTTGCCCACCGGGGCTGGATTACAAGTATTTTGGGCTCTCTCTCCCTGCACTACTCCCCATTGAGTGACTGTTGTTTGTTTTAATAAAGCTTTAAGTGTTTGTTTGCTGTCTGCCTTGTGTGTTTTTGTCCCGCTTACCCTCCGTAACAAGCACCATAATGCAAAACATGGCCTGGTCATGAAGGGGGGTAAATCCTCTAGAGGGCAAGTGGTTAATATGAGTCTCTAACCTTCAAGGGGCGTACAATCTAAGGTCCCTAACCTGCATTCATACATACACATACCCTAGTTTAGACAAGAGCCAATTAGGCTACCAGCATGTCTTTGGAGTGTGGGAGGAGTACCCGGAGGAAATCCATACAGACACAGGGAGAACATGCAAACTCCAGGCAGGTGGTGCTGTGGTTGGGATTTGAGCCAGCGACCCTGGTGCTGCCAGGCGGAAGTGCTAACCATTTAGCCCCTGTGCTGCCCCATTTGGACAGACAGACACAATTCATTTGCTATGTTCACGGCGTTACATTAGTGTGTGTGATTTTCCACAAATTCCATGTTACTCCATAGCTTTTCACAAGCTGGCCATGAATGGATCGAAATTTGGCCAGTTCAGCAGGGTCCAGATAAAATTTGATTAATCTATGACTGTTTCCATTTGAGAGGAGTCGACCTGATGATCAACCTCTGTTTAACGGGACTGTTGGAAAATTTGTGTTCGATCAGCACATGCAGCCAATTGGCTGTAGCACTGATCAGTGTATTCTGACAATGGAGGACTTGTGCTGTCAAGAGTACAAAAGCTCAGTGGGGAGGATTCCTCCATCTACCTCGAAGGTGTGGATGGGAGAATTCATTTTTTTTTTCTGATCAGCCGGCTGGTCAAAAAGAAATATCCATCCAAAATATTTTTTTTGGATGCTGTAACATGACTAAACATTGCACACTATGAATTGAAAAATCTGTAGGGAAGGAGGCAAAATTAAAATGGCAACTGCTCAAATCAGTAAAGGTGCAGTTTGCACACCAGAAGCCCAGAATAGTTACTACGGGTAAAGGTTGCAGTTGGATCGGGGGGGGGGGGTGCAGTAGAAACACATGGTTGAGCCAAGTTTTTACTGCTGCCCACCCAAGCAGACAGGAGGGAATTTATGTCGTGGCCATGATGCTTTTCAAATTTTCCCCCTTCCCAAGGTACTCAAGCTGATGGGGCCAATACATGTGGTTGAGGAACAGTGATGCAGTATTTACAGTTTTAAAAATAGGCGATAGGGGGGCGTTATGTGAAAAAGCCCCTAAAAAGCAAACCAGAATTCAGTTCACCTTTCAGAGGCGCAAGAGTGGCAGTAGTTAGTGTAAACATAGCCTTATTGTTTTTCTATTATATTTATTTGTGAACTGCCCTGCCCATGTGCACCTAACCTATGCTAAATTGAGTGGTTGCCAATTGTATTTTGCTTTGTTGTATTTTTTGTTGCTTTTAGGCAAGTCTGAAGGCCTTTCATAACCAGAAGGGATGCCTAGAGAGCCAAATGCCTTGAGGCCCAGGCCAAATTTAATAGCAACAGCATGTGTCAGTTAACGTGTTACTAAACCCACAGCAGTAAAATCAGTCTGTATATGCAGTAAAGCATGCTTGTTATACTCACTGTGGAACTTAAGGGTTTAAGTGCCTCTCTGTGCATAGCTGAGCACCAAGCCAGCCATGCCCTCCCCATCTCTGTAGTTAGTGTTGGAGGAGCAGAGATGGGAAGGGGCAATCCCTGCAGCTGTCAGTAATTATCCTCAGTGGTCAGACCTCGGTTTTAGAGCCAATGTGGGACATGGGACATGTGCAGCATTACAAAGATGCTAAAGCATCATGGTAAATATTATTATTATTATTATTATACAGGATTCATATAGCACCAACAGTTTGCTCAGCACTTTACAATATAACTGAAGACAATACAGTTCAATACAAGAGGGTTAGGAGGGCCCTGCTCCTTGGAGTTTACAATCTAAGAGGAAGGGGCTGGTGGTACAAAAGGTAATAACTGTGGGGGATGAACTGGTAGGAGGAAGAGAAGATTCCATTATTAGCTGAAGGCGGGATAGGCTTCCCTGAAGAGATAGGTTTTCAGAGATCACCTAAAAGTGAGCAGAGTAGGCAATAGTCTGACAGATTGGGGTAGAGAGTTCCAGAAGATGGGGGAGGCTCTGGGGAAGTCATGGAGATGAGCATGGGAGGAGGAGACAAGGGAGCTAGAGAGTAGGAGGTAGTGCGAGGAGTGGAGAGTACGGTTTGGGTGATATTTGGAGACAAGATTGGTGATGACTGTTCATTATTCTATGCACCCCAGACCTCTCCTTTAATAGGTGGAAACTCAAATGAACACTGCACCCTGAAGGTGAATGTTCTTCTTCAGACTGATGGCTTTCATTTTTCTCAGTGAAGCCTCCATCCTGCACATAATCATTATGTCAGCGTCAGGGGCGGACTGACAACTCATGGGGCCCCCGGGCAATAGGGGATCATGGGGCCCCTGTGTCCTCGCCCACACTCAAACCACACCCAAAAAAGCCTATGAAAGGTACCAGGGGTATCTCATGGGGCCCCCTACTGACCTCGGGCAATGCTCGAGTGCTCGAATGGTCAGTCCACCCCTGGTCAGAGTTGATATAGCGATCACATGATCAGAAAACCATACTAATTGGTTCCCAGTTGTCAGTGACAGCAGAGACTGAAGGCTAGAAGCCACACAAAGTGTTGACTGCTTGCTCTTAAAATGTAGGGTGTTTATTAATGCATCAGCACTGGGGATTACATAGTTACATAGTC